TCTGTATAAAAAAAACTAACAATAATACTGTTCATTGGAGCTGTAGAAGTATACTAGGTTATAGATGTTGTAGGTGATGTCATTTTGTGCTGGACTACATTATACATTATAATACTGTTGCATAATGTAACAAGATCTGTGATCATGCCAGCCATATAAAATGGACTGTATTATTCTGAGGTACCATATAGTGAGTGACCACTGTATTCACTTGAAAAGATTATCTAAATCTATCTCAATATATTCTAACATACAAGTCGAGGCAAACTGCAAACAAAGATCCTGATCTGCTGTAGCTTATTATGCCTGCAGATTAGGGTCTTTTCTGTTTGTTCTACTGCATACTCCTAACAAACTTCTGATTACTCCAAGATTATGCAACTGCATATCTATGTCTTTGTACTTTGCAGTTGGGCTGGACTTAAAAGCGAGTACATATGGTTCACAATTTTTGTTTCATAACAGAGCAACAACATTTTCCAGTGGTGGAAAAATCAGTTGTCCAGGAGCCTGTGACAAGTAGAACAGTTTTCTTACTGAGTTAAAGTTTCTGTCATTTGCCCAGGATTTTGCATATAAGGTGAAGGAAAAATCCAGATTATTATGATAAAAATCTAATTTTGAGGCAATTAGATCATTCGGGAATTTTTAAAGCTCTGATGTGGCACCAGGATGTTTCCAGAATGTCATGGGCTTAATTCACACCATGGGATCTGAACCTGGACCAGTTACCATAGTGTGCTCTTGGACAATTTATTCTTAAGGTCAGTGTTATTCTTCTTGCCTCAGTGCAATAAAACCTTCATGTGTTGCAATTCTATTAAAGATCAAACAAAACCAAACAAAATGAACCCAACCTGCCAGTAGCTTCTTGTGGGTCGTGGTTCTTCCTGGTGTTTTCCTGGGTTCTTCCTCCACCATTAATACTGGCAACCATGTATAGCCTATCTTGTGCTGAAAAATGGCGTTAAACCCTATAACAACAACAATATATACAGAATCAATTATCCAAACTCTAAATTTCCCCAACCATGCTTATGTCATATGAAAAATTTTGGATAGTGGCATTTCTAGTGTATATTTTGTTATTCCTGGTCCATGTGGTTATTTACACTTAGTAGAATAGAATTTTGTCCTTAAACTGTATCTTTTTATACATTCCATAATTTGGTATAACATCCAGTTTGTTTAATACTTTATTTTTGTCTGTAATTTAAATGTTTTGGACTTGAATTATTCATATACCATCAGAAAATTCAAATTTTGTTTTCATCCCATTTTGGGTACAAAGAACATTTTTCTCATTTAAATTTTTGTCAGTGTTAGGTACAAAAGAATATGATAATTAATGGTGTTTTAGTAGAAATTCTATGTTATGATGTTTTCCACCCATCTGTTACTAGTTTTGTTTCTCCACAATAACTCGTGTTCTCCACTAGCTGCATTACCAAACTTTGTTGATAGCTTGCACTTGGGGTAAGGAAAAAAACCATATCAATTTTAGGATTAAAATATCTGAGGTCAAGGTGCCTGATAATACAAGAAAAAATGATCCACACAATGACACTAGTTCTTCATTACCTACCTGGACCAAACTTGTGGATGGTGTTTACTTAGCATAAGCAAAAACCCTGTTGATTTTGATGCTCAAAAATTAAGGTCACTGACTAAAGAAAAAAAACTGGTTTTAACACAATAACATTTGCTTTTTGTCATATACCAGGACCAAACACTGTAGGCAACTTTGAACTTGGGGAAAGGAAGAAGGCTATCAATTTTAGTGACTATTAGACAAGACCTATCATATAATGTACTGTTTATGGTACTGATGTTCATTATGTGTACACCTGAAAATTTTTATAAAAATGTGTACAATATATTACAGAACACCATCAAATGTACTTAGATATATTTTTGTGTTGTTTTTTTTTTATCCCAAAAGAACAGGGGTAGGGGTTATTGCCCTTAGGAAATAACAAGGATCATGAGTTAAACATTTTATTGCCATAGAGAAATTTATACACGCAAATGGATTGTAAACATGTCAGCCAGAAATCTAGAATATAACTACTCTGTAAGCCCCTATTATTGATATATACCCTAAAACTATCTTGTTTTCCATATGTATGTTATCATGTCACAGAATATGTCAAATACTGATTTAAATTGCATGGGATACTGTTATTTTGGGAATTATTAAAGTTATGAATACTACCCATATTTAGTTAATTTGTTTATAGATAATATCTTTCTGAATGATTATAATCTACAATTTCACAAGTGTGAACTGAAATTCTATTAATGGGTCCATGAAGTTAAGAGAATCTGTAAAATACCCCATCAATCAATTGGCTCTTAGCTCTACTGGTTATACTGCATACCCTAGGCTGATAAATAAGACAACACATGCTGATACTGACTGGATGTTATGGGGTTGTTCTCACTTATTAAAACACGCAACTCTTGTCTGTACACATCAGTGTACATTTATACACTTACTGGCATTTCACATGTAATTTTGTTAGTATCAGTTATTGGTTGTTTTGGTGATAATATTTCCAGATCAGATTCTGTGCACGATTACTTGTAAATCCATGTGGAATAGCACAAACCTATGTGCTGTGGCCATTTTTAATTTTGTGCTAGATATAGCTGTTAGCAAATTACGGTAAGTGTCAACTGTTCTTAGATGTGTTCTGCATATTTTAATGAGCATGTGACATCATACCCACAAATTGTCCATTTATTGGACTGCCCATACCGCAGAAGAGCTTTATGAAGTGGCCGGTTTGTCAGTCATCTGTTATATATCAATTAACACAAGATAATTATTAATACTTAAAACTACTTGAAGGATTTTCATAAAACTAATTACACATTCATCCCAAGATCCAGTTAGTCCATAATGAAAATGGTACTACTCGGACATGCAAAATAGTTATTGTTTCTCCTCCAGAATGTATGATTATATCAACATGGGGTTTCACTAGAAGACATCTAGTATTGTTTTATTTGTCCTAATCAAAATTGGTGCTGAACTGAGAACCAATATGATTGTCACTGTGGCCAGCTTGAAAATCTTATCACTACTCCACATAAAATTATATCAGCATGGGAGTTTCACCAGAAGACTTTTTATAATATCAGTTACTCCTTAATAAATATAGTGCAAATCTGACCATAATATTTAAAATTTGAAAGTTACTCCACCAGTTTATGAAAGAATCCACTGCCACCTGACTTACTTGCTTCCTGGTGTGGATCATGCTTGACAGCCATTTTGTACTATTATGGAAAGCATCTTATTAACTGATACAGTTGATGTGTAAAAGTGCAGTGCTTGATTTTGTTATTTTTTACACACAATAAACATACACACAAACATACTTGAATGGTAATTTTGATGGCCATAGAACACAATTTTACTATATGTTCTTTTCATTTCTTTCTCATTATTGAACTTATTACTGTGTGACAATCAATACAAATCATATGTTATTCTAAAATACCTTCAAAGATTACTTTACAGTCAAGTTCTTGTCAAGGGTTGACCTGCATTTTTTTAAGAGGCTGAATTGTAAACAAAACACAATGCATTGGAACACAGATTTCACTTCAGGATCATCACCAGGTCCTTATTACTCACTGCACTGTCACTGAAATACACACAGACAACCACACCATCAGCTCATATTCTAAAGAATAAACAACTGACTTTAAATACTTGCCAAGAATGTCTAAATCTAACTCCTGTATCACCACCAAACGGAGACAGGAAAAAATGATCTGAAAATAGACTGGGGCTACATTTGTGGGTATTGAACTGGAATTATTGATTGTGGTCTGTTTCCTGATAGGAAAGTCAACAGACTGATCGTAAAATGCTGTATTTTTCTGCCATGCAAATTTTTTTTATAAAAAACATTTTGTAGAACAAAACTTTGATTGAATTGTTATTAAGTTGAACTGTGTCTGGTAAACATATCAAAGTTTAGTTAATTGTTTGCAAATTGTTTGCATTTTTAAATACTCTCAGAGCTTGTAATATTATTGCACAAGTTTTTATATACCAAATAATATGGAATGTAAGATTTATATGCCTTGCCTTTGTTGCATTAAATCTTGATAAATAAACTTTCTGAATCTGTTTTTTTTTTTTACTTTAATTTATATTTATTCAGCTCTTTACTTCTGTTTCCACTTTTTTCTGGATATGTTTATTGATCTTACCTCTACAAAGACCTACTGTACTACTTGGCATCTATACAGATTAAAACAAATGCTGTATACTCACTTATAAGTTGATCCTGATCTGCTTTTGCATACTGTACCTGCAGATCATGATCTATGCTGTTTGCTCTACTGATTACTCCTTATAAACTGTACAGACCCAGATCTGCCAGTGCATTGTGCAAAGGCAGATCTGGGTCTGTGCAATTTGCAGTTGGACTTGTTTTAAAGCGAGGATATACAGTACAGGGTCAATCTGATTGATTTTTTTTTCCTATGTCTTGGTCAACAGTTTAGAGTGGGATTACTTTGTACACACTTGTACATTAGCTATGCATCCTTGGTTAAGTTTTTTCTGTTGAACTTTAACTTGTTTTTTTTTTACACACTGTATAAATACTTGCATTCCTACAATCATACAACTTGATAATGGGATACATCCTAATGATTACTACACCATCAGCACAAAAGTAGGTCACTGTGACCCATATTTTGCTCTTAACCGTTTTTGCTTAAAGATTGTTTTAAGTGATGTGATATGATTATGATTTTTAATGTAGCTTTAACAATTTTTCAGTCATATAGTTACGATGTCAGCAGTGTGGCAGTTTATAGTGAGGTCTAGCACTGGGGCATCATGCCGCAGACATGTAGCATGATGTCTCTCCTAGTCATATTATTCTGACACCAGGCCGACCAGTCCTAACGCACCTCTTAATGCTGAGCACCAAGCGAGGCAGCTGTTAGTACCATTTTTGCAAGTCTTTGGTATGACTCAACTAGAGATTGAACTAATGACCTCCCGCATCCAAGGTGGGCACTCTAACCACTAGGCCACCAGAGCAGTTTCGTTTTGAGTTTATTTCTGAAGATCTGTTCATGTTAAGTATCACCAAATATCCGTCTCTATTAGAAGCACATTCTTTCAGCCAATGAAGATCATGGTGACCTACATTTTACATTTTGCTAGTTTAGGTTTTGTTTTTAGCTAAAGACCAAATAGGTTTAAAGCAGAGCATCCATCTATCACCAGCTTGGTCTATGCACAATAACTGAAGCTGCCACCATCAACAGTTATCAAACTAAGTGGATAGCTTCCACATAGAGTGAGGAAGAAACTAATTCATTTCTGTTTAAAAATTTCAAAGTCAAGGTCACTGACTTACAAAAGGGTAAAAATGTTTTATGCTCAATAACTTGATTTCAGTACCATTTACATTTACCAAACTTTGTGGATGGTTTGCACTTGGGGTAAGGAAGAACCAGATCAACTGGGGGAAAGGGTCCAAAAAGGTCAAATATCAAGGTCAATATCATCAAAAAAGAAAAATGGTTTCTGCACAATACCTTTGGTTCTCCACCAACTATAGTTAGCCAATTTTGTTAAAGACTTGCACTCAGGGTGAGCAAGAATCCAAACATTTTTCAGGTCAAAGGTTAAGGTCATTTTGAAAGAAGAAAATTACTTTTTTTTTTTTACAATAAATTGAATTTTCAATGATCTACAGTTACCACTCTGTGAATGGCTTGCACAGAGGTGGTGAGAGGCACTTTAGATATTGGAGTAAAATTGTCAAAGGTTAGGGTTGTTGTGACAGTAAGAATAAAAAAACATCAGTTCTACAGCAATAAGTCATCCAGCTTTATGAATGGACTGTACCTCTGGTAAGGAAGAATTCTCATGATTTTGGAGTGAAAACATCCAATGACAAGGACACTGCACAATAAGATTAGTTTTACATCATAGACCTGGACCAAACTTTGTGGATGGCTTGCAAAAAGGGTAATAAAGAAGCTTATTGGTTTTATTATCAAAAGGTCAAATATCATGATCACTGTCACTGAAAGAAGACAAACAATTCATTTGCAAAAATTTCAGTTATCTACATAGTTTTGTTAAGCACTGGGCACACACACACACACACACACATATATATATATATATATATATATATATATATATATATATATATATATATATATATATATATATATTTACCTAGAGTCATGAAACTTTGTGAGAGGATGCAGCTTGTTGTGTACTACACCCTCACCCTCATCAAACTAGGTCACTGTCATCCAGATTTCATGCTGCACTGGATTTCGTTCAGTTGTGTGATTTAGTTTATTTTCCAAGCTCTGTCTATGAAAGCATCTTTAAACTAGATGTTTGCATGCATCTCTATTACAACACCATTGTGAACCCAAACGTCAGAAGCCAAAATGCATAGAAGTCGAATTAGTTTTAGTATTGATCTGAATGAATTCCAATATTGTACGTGCTTATATGCCAGTAGTCTCGAGTGTGTTAACATGCCAACAATTTTGATGTATCCCAAAGATATAATCCAACATGTCCTTGCATGAATTCACAATGATCCCAAGATAGTCATTTAGTTTGAAATTAATGAAAAGCACGATATAATCCAACATGTCCTTGCATAAATTCACAATAATCCTAAAATAGTAATTTAGTTCGAAATGAATGATAAACACTTAGTAATTCCAGTGAATAATGTCAATAAATAAACCCTCAAATTAAAACTGAACATAACTATAAGATTGATTCCACTTCGGATATTGATTTAGGAATGTGTAATTCCAATACAACCAACCTTAATATAAAAACCTAAGACTAAGACACAATTTGAGAACAAGGATGAAGTTCGAGAATTCATTTCCAGAAAATTCTAAGTTATAAACAATCTGGTTGAGGAAAAACTAAATTTTCATGTGTGACAACTTTGATTGTTGTAATTGTTGTTGTTTCGTTTTCCCTGCCATGTCAGACATATTTAATTGTAAATTATGACTGCGATGGTGCACAATCATATGTATCAACTATTCCCATTATATCAATAAAAAATAGTTGTCCATAAATTAAAATCCTCATAAAATCAAAACAGAATTTCGTATTTTGTGGTGATAATGTGCTCGAAGTGTAAAGGTAAGTTAGCAAATACTGAAATTGATATTAGTTTTCTTCTTGTTACTTCTGATTGTACCACTTGTTCATCAGATTATTTTTCAGACCAAGAGAGAGAAATCATAATGCCAACACTTGAGATTATTATATAGTCAGCTGTCAAATAAGATAATTAAGCGCAAGTGATCAAAAGAAAATAAACTAAATAATGATACAAAGTTCACTAAGAATATGCACTGTTGAAAAACACAGGAACTTACAACGCTTGCCCGAGTATTATAATTAGCAGGGGTTTCAAACTCAGACCACCTGATGGCTGGATGAGGGCATTTATTATTATTTTGCAACTTAAATTATATTGTATATTAATTCATTCACCAGATCATTTAATATGTATTTTTTTAAACATAAAATGTAGTGTAACAACTACGTAGACAGGTATTAAAAATATGTTTGTATTTAATTGTGGCTTTGTTATGCAGTTTAATGGATTTGTGCATTCGTTTTGTCCTGACATACCATTAAATTTGTTGTCATCTGATGTATTTTATTTCTGTTTTGGTTAGACCAGAGGCTTTATGCTTGGAGAAAAAAAAATGTGATATCATTTCAGGTGTGTCAGTAGTCACTGAACTATGATCTTTAAACAGGTGATATTGCAAATCTGTATATAAATGATTACAGGAACTTGAGATATTTACCTAAATTTCAATTTGTTTTTGTTTAAACAGTTATTCACTGGTATAACTTGGGTCATGCGCTACCGCATTATATTTGGAATCATTTTACAATAAAGAGTATTAAAACGAGGGAGATCTATAGCTACTATGCATGTATGCACACAAAGTCGGTAGATATACAGCAGTACTTAGTTTAGAACAGTTAATTCATGTATATGCTAGTGGGGTTTTTTTTGCACTCAAATTTCCCACACTTAGAATATATCTGTAGTACTACTATTTTCATTCTAAGTACTGCTATAATTATTTTACTTGCATGAGAATGGGTCTTAAATAAAATTCATTTCTCAATAAAGTAGTATAGCTGTATGTAAGAGTCAATGAGTTGCTTTTGACAATATAACTAAGAAATGTGAAAATAGCTCTATTGTTAATTGACGATATGAAAATGAATAGGTGCAATTTTAGGGTGGGTGGGTGGTAGATAGCCAAAGTCAGAAAATTATATTTGCACAAAGTAATTTAAAGATAAAAATTTTGAGGAAAAAAAAAGTATTTGAAAAAAAAACTGAAATGAGCAGTTTAAAGGAAAGTTTACAATAAAAGTAATTATACCCCCACAAAAAACTCCAAACAAACACCCAGTAAAAATATAACAGTGGGTTGCCGCTGCGAGTTTCGAACTTAAGACCTCTTGTGTGGAAGCTGTGTGTGGAAGCCATGACACGCAAACAAATGTGGGTCTTTTATATGTAAAGATTCAAGAAAATTGCTTTCCTCAATTTCGTACATGTAATGATGATGAGTAGGGTGGCAATGGCTAGTACTGTACTATATTTATGCTTAGGTGTGTATTGGCCTAAATTGTGGAACAGTTGTAAAAAATTATCTTTTTTGGATACTTTGCTTAATTTCTTGTATGTGTAAATTTCTTGTATACTTCAATACTTCATTGCTTAGAGTACTTGGAACTGTCTTTTCATCTACCCTACTTACGCCATTTTAATGATTAATTCACTTAAACTGATCACATCGTAGCAAAATTAGAGTCAAGACGAAATATTAAAAGCTACGTAGAATGAGTTAACACGTGCAATAATTTAAGTCGTGAAATAGAAATAATAATCAAACTATTAGCAAAAACGTTCTGGGTCCTTTTCGCAGACGGTAAGTCATTTTTGCATCCGTTTAGCGAAAAGGACCGATTTTTTTTATCACTTTATGTTAAGAAAAATACATTAAATGCTATGTGAAATGACTTATTTCGTAAAATAAGTTCATTTGTGAAATATAAATATTGACTAAAACTTTTAGTATTCATCTTCTGTCCTTTTCCAAGACAGTATGTCCTTTTCGCGAAAAGGACTCCATTACGCACTTGATACCCACCGTATTTTGTACACAATTATAGAGTTATCTCCCTTACTTAAAGGTGCAGACCATGTGTTGTTGATTGTCGAGTGAAGTGTTACTGTCTGCTGTTTTTACGGCTGATTGGGAAGGTACTGCACATATTTCATGTGTAAGAGGTAGTCTTATAGCTTACGAAGAATTTTGTGTAACATTACCTAATATGATTAAATTCTGCGCATGCGACATGCTAAATATAGTCCTGTACAATGTCATACGTATCACGTTATTTATGTTTTGTAACACCAAACAAATATCATATTATACGTCTTACGTTGTAGGACTAGCGACGTACATGCTCAAATTTAGCCCAATAATGTAAGACCCTGATATTTTATGTTGTTTGGGTCGACCCAGACAATGTAAATTAGGGTAGACATTTTTCATTGTAGGAATATAGTTCGTTCTATAATGTTAAACCTTGACTCTCATATATATGTTTTGGGCGTCGAGGTCTTAACTGCCCAAAAAACGCGCTGTGTAGCCTGTTCCGATGCATATTAACAATAATAAATCAAATTTTCAGGAATATCTCACACACTTGGTAGCCCATATTGACACTTTTCTACAAATTAAAGTAGTAGTGTTTTAGTCAGACTTTACTTACTGGGATGTCTTTTTTCTAATAAATTCAAATTCCTACACAAGCAACTAGCCCAACAAGTAGGTCTTTGCTTTTTTATATATGACAGCAGCTGCTGTCAGATAAAAAAAAGGGCAGAGACCAACTTGTTAGTCTAACAAAGCAACTAGACATGTTTTCAAGATCTTTTGGCTTAAGTTTCCGTTGACTGTAAAACGATGGAAACTGGGAATACCGAAATCGGTT